AGTAATTAAAATATATGATTTTTTATGTAAAATTGAAATTAATGAATTAAAATTTAAAAGTTGCTTAAAATAAAGTAAAAATTGATAAATGAGGGTGTACAAGATTTAAAATTTGAATTGAAATGGTATAAAAATTGCAAAATTTGATTTAAAACAACTGGTCAGAATTCTCTCTTGATGTAACATGGATTCCTGGAGCCACATACAAATTCTATATGCAAATACTTATATGACAAACAGTCAATCATTTTGGCAATGAAAAGTCTTTTGTAAGATGTCCTCTAGCAAGGAGTGTCCTCTCATGATGGCTCTACTGTATTTTAGTTAAGGGAGACATTTTTTCAGAAATGGACAATTTGAACAATTTTATTGACTTCTAATCAACGGTTACAGTAAATAAAAAAATATGATAAAATATACAAAAGATTATATAGGTAAATATATACAGTTATATGTGTACAAATTTCTTCTCAGAAAGGGAGGTTCCCAAACTTGAGAGAGTTCTCCTCCATACAAGGTCTTCTTGAACACTCCTCAGTTCCACGCCAAGGAAGTACTTGTAAATGCAGGGCTTGGCAGATGCCAGGATGGAGTCATCATCCAGGCCTTGTCAAGAGATCCAACCCTGCAGGTCAGGGGGGATGTTGGTGAAGGCCTCCCAGATGAGAGGTCTGACAGGACCAGTACCATAGAGACAGGTTGTTAGACCCACAGGACTGTTGGATCAATGCCAGATGAAACAAGATATGCAGCCTGACTGCCTTGTGTCTGGAGAACAGCAACAGAGAAACGACCAACCAATTTTTTTAGGAATAGATCAAAGCAGCTGTATTACCCCCCTATAAACCTGACATGTAAACAAAATCTTGATGATGAGCCAAACCCTCCCAATATATTTTTTCATCGCAGAAAGGGCAGTAGAAGTTTGTATTATGCATAAAATAAACATTCGTGCTTTTAAATACTTCCATTTTATATGTATAGATGGCGCGTTATTGGTTTGTGTTAAAATCTTCAGTATTTAAAAATGTTTTTTTATAAAGGTGATCCTGAAAGCAAGTGTAAAGTTTTAGTGCTGTTTTCAACATTTAATTTCTATGTTTATTACAGACAGATGCTATATACACGCTACTTTATACTACTTTTCTCTAAAAGACAACACCTAGTTGTAGAGCCAAGTTTTTTAAGAGGTGTCCTCATACTGGAAAGCTGCTAATTAGTAAAAATTAAAATTCCGTTGATGAAAACTATTCTTTTTTAGAGAGGTGTCTTCTAGTAGGAGTGTCCTCTCATAGAGGTTCACTATATGTACAAGGTAATAAGACCACATCCAAATAAATAAATAAATAGTGTGCGACGTTTCGGTAACAATGCTGTTACCGAAACGTCACACACCATTTATTTGCATTTGGTCTTATTACCTTGTGTTAATAATCTATAATCCAAATTGTTCCTCATCATTTTACTATATGATTTTTATTATAAGGCAATAACGCACCATCTGACAAATGAAAGCATTAATGTTTCTTCTACACAAAGAACTGTCCTTCAACTGTCCTTGCTGCAATGAAATGATGAAAGCTTATATCCGTAAGTCCTTCAGTTTGCCTGAATACCATTTCTATGATTTCACCCTTCAGTGTAACATATATAAGCAGAATCATCCAATACAGTATTAAAGCTCTAAGAAGCGGTCTGGTAAATTAAATTGGTGAAACCGCTGGGAGGGTTCGCCACTGATGAGCCAAGCCCTCCCAATATTATTTCATCGCAGTAAGGACTGTTTTATAAGTATATAAGAACATGTTGTGTAAAAGAAACATTCATGATTTACTGCTTTCACTTCTATACTACAGTAAAACCCCTCTATAGTGAACCCCAATGGGACAGAGCTTTTGGTTCACTATAGCCACGGTTTGGCTATTTTTTTTTTTACTTTTCAAAAATTTTAGACCGTATAATTAAAAAACAGCCATACACACAAGAAGAGGCTGCCTCTTAATAGTGGTCACTTTATTTTAATTCCCTTAATTGACTAATTTCCTTATATTAATACTGAATAATAATAGAAATCATTAGATAATAGGTTCTTCTTATGATTAACATACATGTACCTCTATGTCTAAGTTAAAAATCAAGACAAATCCTAGGCAAAGTTTTATTAAATATATATTCAAAGATATGAAATGATTTTAAAACATCATTATCACATTTTATATAATACAATTTTTACTTGAAAAAATGGCTCTAATACCTTGTTGTTTCAAAGTATTCTTCCAAGCATTGCACCATTCAAATAAAGTTAGTGTTTTTCTTCCATTTCATGTTTCCCCATATTCTTCTAGGTCTAGATTTCGTTTTTTTTTTAACCTGCCATGCAAAACATTGCTGATTTTAAAATCACCATAGTTAATGGCATAAAAATAATTTTTGTTTCATCACGGGACCGTTTATTTGGACTTTTTTTTTTTTAGCCCTAAAACGTACGATCGCGGCAAAAGTTGAAGTTGATTCCTCTTTGTAACAATTTTTAATAACTTTATATTTTATCTTTTATAATAGAAAATTATATTCTCTTATTTTAATATGTTCTTAACATTTTGCCTATGTTGTTTCACTTTGAAAAGTTCTGAAAATGGCCTTTTTTTTTTAAATGAAATAATGCTTTTGTTTTTAAAATGCCTTTGTTTTCTTCATTTTGGAAGCCATTTGCATTTTTTATATTTCAAATTTAATGGATGCAAAGATATTCTAATTAATAAAAAGTATAATGTGTAAAAATTTATACAACATACAGCAAAAATAAAGTGCAAAAATCAAACAAACAATGCCGCTAAATTTATTGTTTTGAAATCGCGATCCGCGAGCTTTAAACATGCTCAAAATTTTGTTTTTTAATTTTTTTTTAAAATTACAATTCTAAGTTCGTTATAAGCATAGTATTTTTTTATAGATTTTATCATTTTGGGACCCGAAATAGGTTCGTTATAGGGGTAGTTCGTTATTCTAAAAATCGCAAAGTTCGTTATAACGATGGTATTTTCAATGGAATGGAATTGGGAATCGGCGTGGGTTCGTTATAAGGGAAGGTTCGTTATATCCAGGGTTCGTTATAGCGGGGTTTTACTGTATATGTTTTAAGTTAACAACACAATTTGGATTATAGATTATAAATGCAAGGTAATAGGATCAAATAAATAGTGTGTGACATTTCGATAACAGCATTATTACCATCTTCAGACAAAAGTGTTGAATGAGAAATTATGCCACAGCATGTGTTAAATAGTTACCATTTACTTGACACTTGATAACAGTAACTACTTAACACATGCTGTGGTAAAATTTCTCATTCAGTACTTTTGTCTGAAGATGGTAACAATACTGCTATCAAAACGTCACACATCCTTTATTTGGTCTTATTACCTTGTGGGTATTTGGCCAATTCTGGAATAATTAAAAATCAACGAGAATAGTTGATATTTATTCTGATAGATGGCGCAAGCCATCAATAACTTTCAGTTGCACGATAAGGAGATGCTGTTTTCATAATTTATTACCTTGTGTTTATATGTTTAAAGAGAATACAAGGTGTACATCCCTGGACAACCACACATGTATGAAAAAGGGAAACCTTTAGCAGATGGTGCTCAACCATCCCCCGAGGTACACGTGACATGTCCCACATTGCCGAGCACAGGGATAGTGGCAAGGTGAGATATGTCGGACGTAGTTTCCCATGGTACCTCATCCCTCCCCCCCTCTACACTTCTAGGAAACTATTGTCTCGGAAGTCTGTTCCTTGACACTTCTCCTTTATTCCACTAGCATAAATTTTGACAAATCATCTAACATTTTTAGGGTTGTAGAACAAGAAGCTAGAAGGCCATTCCAGCAACTGTTTACAACAAACAAACAAACCTTATCTGCACAGCAGCTTGTAGAAAAAACAGCCAGAAGGCCATTCCAGCAGCAATCTACAAGAAATAACCATCTACAGTGTAGTCAAAACAACCAGAGAAGGTCCTTCCAACAATTATATCTAAACAAGAAATAACTATTCATCTATCTACAGGGTAGATAAAACAGACAGAAGGCCATTCCAGCAGCATTCTACAAGAAATAACCATCTACAGTGTAGTCAAAACAACCAGAGAAGGTCCTTCCAACAATTATATCTCCATTCATCTATCTACAGTGAAGACAAAACAGCCAGAAGGCCATTCCAGCAATTAAATCTACATCAACAACTCCCCAACCAATAGGTTGTAAATAAAACAGACAAAAAGGAAATCCCAACAACTGCTTATAGCAAATTCACAAACATTCCTGGGTACTAGTACTTTGTGGAAATCCATTATTTAATCAAAGATCTGGCAAAGAGTGTGTTTATTTTTGTGAAAGTATTTTACTACTTGTTATTCCAATTGTTATATAAATACATTCCCCACTACTTTTCACAGCTTATATTCTGTAAGCTTGTGGAAGAAACATATCTACAAATAACTAGAAAAAATGTTGTTTTGTCAGGAATGTAGTGAGATGTGATCAATATTTATACTGTGAGGAAATTTTCTTTGAAGAGTCCATTGTTTCCTTCCATTGGAGGAAAAAGTAACAACTGGAGACGAGACTTGGGTTTACGGGTATGACCCGGAAACAAAACCGCAATCCATGTAGTGGAAAGGAAAAGATGAACCAAGAACGAAGAAATCCCGACTTTGCAAGTCAAAAAACAAAGTCTTATTGGTCACATTCTTTGACATAAAGGGAATTGTGCATTATGAATATCTAGAGGAAGGTCAAACAATCAACTGCATTCTAAAAAGCCTTTAATTTTCATAATATTTTTATTGTATTATTATTAATTTTTTTTAATGTAATATTATCAATAATTGTTTTGACCAATGAAAAATTTGTTTTCATGTGATCTACAATAATTTGTAAATTAAATTCACTGTGCAATAAATTGATAAAGAGGAAGCAATCTCTCGAAATATTTTGAGAATTTTTTTTTTCTTTACAGATCCAGGTACGCCCTTTTATATAATCAATGAGTCTTATTTAAACATTATGAGATGTGTACGTGAATCAATTCTTCTGAAAAGAAGTAAAATGTGGAGTTCCAAAAATTGGATTATCCATCATGATAATGCACCACCACACACCGCTACATCTGTACTGACTTATTTGGCTAAACACGGCATCCAAATACTTCAACAACCTCCCTATTCCTCAGTCCTAGCTCCAAATGATTTTTTTCTCTTTCCAAAACTCAAAATGGCTCTAAAAGGAAGGAGATTTGACACTAGAGAGTCCAACATAGTGGATTCGAAAAAGGTCTTGAAGAACATCCCGAAAGATGCCATTTCTAAATGTTTTAAATCATGAGAGAAGAGATGGAAATTATGTATAGATGCGGGAGGGGACTAATTTGAAAAATACTAATAATTTTTTTTAATCATTCAATTTTTTCTTTATTTTTGACCAGTCTCATTATTTATTGGACACACCTTGTATATCAATTTCTGATAGATTACAAAGAGCCATGAAACCAACTTCTACTGTGGAAGGTTTCCATCTCCACTTCTGTGCCAAAGAGGTCTATCAAGAAGATATTTTGGAACAAATAGTAAAGCCTCTGAATACAAAAATGTTTAATGGAGAACATTGGATATTTCAACAAGATTCAGCTCCTGCTCACAAAGCTAAGTCAACTCAACATGGTTGGAGATCATATTTTGGATCAATTGAAATCAGCATTGGTGAGAGCAATGAAAGAAATACCCTTAGAAAAGGTGCATGCCGCCATAGATCAGTGGCCCAAAAGTTTGAGATCCTGTGTCAAAAATAAGGGAGGATATTTGGAATGATTGTATATATTTAAAATCCTATTGGCTAATAAAAAATGTATTTATATTCCATTAGTTTTTGATCATTTAATTTATATAATTGTAACAGAATTTATGGCTAGACTGTATATAGACGTCGCAAGCCTGAGGAAGACGGCTTTTCTTTAGTTAAATGAGTAAGAGGTTTCACTATTGAGAATGGTGTTGTGGGCATGACCAATGTAACTATAGGTAATGTTGTGCCACCTCTTCTATGCAGACTATTTGATGCTCACATCAATGTTGAGTCCTATGCTTCAATCTCTGCTATAAAATATATCTGCAAACAAATATAGAAGGGTTCAGACCAATCAATTTTTGCAGTTACTGGTGCTCAAACAGAGTCTAACAAAGTGCTAGAGTACCAACGTGGTCAGTATATTAGTAGGCCAAGGAGTCTCTCCATGGACTCCTGGACACCACCAGTGATCTGGCGGGGAAGATCGGACTTCACTTCAAGGGCTCCAAGTGCGCACCTCTTCAAGGGAAGAAATGGCCTGCCTCCGCAGGCCAGCAACGAGGTGCTCTTCATCCCTCCTTCCAAAGGCAGAGCAGGAATGGTGCCGTTTGGTGACAAGACCGACTTGGCCAAGATCCAACACGCCTTCCGGCTCCTCACGAGCCCAGACTCTGAAACCTCCACACTCACCAAAAGCCTTCTTAAAAGAGTTGCGGAGAGGAAGCTGGGACGGCTTGCACTGGAAGAGGAGCTGGCAGGGTATCTGTCGGGGAAACTTGACAGTGATTTTGCCAGGGTTGGTGGAGACATCACTTCACTCTGCAGTGATGCCAAAAACACTTCTCGACACCTCTCAAAAAGGATCGGTATTCAGTGGGTCTACAACCCAACACTGGGAAACATAACAATCAAGCTCTCAAACACTGACAAGACACCCAAAGAAATCAGCCACCCCACAGTTGCTAGGGAACAAATCATAGCAAGGCTTTGGGCAGGCCTTCCAAGACTCCTACCTGAAAACTCTGATTAAAAAGTCTGAACAGGAAAAGGTCTACGAGGTCACCTGTCGAAACAAGTCTTCTGTTGCAGATCCACTACCTTCTACGATTCTACGATTTTAAGTAGTGGATGATTTTCCTGCTACTAGCTCTTGTAGCTATAATCCTTCTGCCTAAATATGGCTCGCAAACGCCAGACCAATCGGTCTCAACTATTCCGACAGTTCAACCGTCGGACAGGACAGCGACGAAGACGTCGTGGACGTCAGCGTCGTGGATGCCCCGAGCTTCACCGACTCGGCACAATCTCGTTTCTCGAACGCGCCCGCTTTCTTCTAGCACCATACTTACCAGCCGCCGTGAAAGCATCGGACGCAACCGGGAATTGGTGGACTACCCTTGGCCACCTTGTGGGATACGCCGCCGTGATGCTGGGCAAAATTTTCATAACTAAAGTGACCCCTGGAGCTATCACTAGTGAAGCAGACCCCGTACCAGCACAATTTTTGCCAATTGCGTCTGTGTTTTCCTACGAAATAGCCCCCGAAACAATATTGATGGACAGTGCCAACATAGTGCGAGCTCTGAGCCCGTACACTGATCCACCTGTGTCTGCCACCTTTGTGTCTTACCGTCAGTTTAGACTTCACTCACTGACCGCTAAGATCGAATATGAGTCACGTTCATACGTGTACTCCGGACGTGTGTGTGCGGCCATAGTCCCATACACCATTAGTGGATTTACCGACCAGTACCAGTTCGCGTCGTACAATTACGACGATGGATCTGTGGAGAGAAAATACGGACAACCATTCACCCTAACCTATTCGCCGAGCGCGTTTGACGTCGGCAAGTTGTGGTTGGGCACTGATAAAGGATTAACCAATCCGGCAGAGGTCGATGCAATTGGATCATCACTCATTGAAGATATCCTCAGACTATCAGCCCCTCAAAGAGGACAGGTCTTCTGTATGTCTAAGAAAATTTTCGACATAGCAGAAAAATTCTTCAATGGAGACGCGGATGCCAGATCTCTAGCAACCAATTACTACAATAAATACATGGCTGAGAATGTTGCTTGTGATAGCAAGGTGGAAAGTGATACCTACGTCAGATGTGTGAAAAAGTTCAGAGACTTGATCCCAGACTTTCCAGAGGGACAAGTGATTGCCATGCTGTGATTGACACTAGAGGCTGTTCAGCAGAGCTGCAGGTAATGCTTGTGGACATGATAAATAAAAGGGCCAGACGGCTAACTAAATCTGCAGTAGGGCTTGGGTCTTCTCACTTGAAATATGTGGAATACATTTTTAATGCAAAACAATGGGGGGGACACCATCATTGTTCAATTCAAGGGGGTGTCCTCACAGAAAGGAAGTCAGGGGGAACTTTCGATCTGGAAGGAGTCGCAGTCCCAAATCAAAATGCCTTGCTTCTAAGCTCTGCATTTTGCGCCTACTCCCAAAAAGACTTAGCAAAGTTTGAGGAGGCAAAGGCTAGCATGACCACCTGGCTAGATGCAAACCCTGATCATGCAAATGCTGGACTATGGAATAGAGTCTTGCATGAGGTTGGACTGTTCCAAAATGGTCAAATAGGGGAAGGCGAAAAGGGTGCTGGGTATGAGTCCCAAAAAACCAACATTGACCCACTTTGGCTATCTTACTTCACAGCCATCAAACTCTGCAATTTGAAATGGGCTCAATTCAAAGTCTTCCAGAGGGGAATCTATGCCATCGGCCTAAATGTGAGAGGAAAGGAAAATATCAAAGCCATGGTCAATAGTATGTCCGGTGTTCCAGGCTTCACTCTTTTAAGAGGAAAACTCTCAAGGAACATGAACATCTACACTCCTCCCTGGATGATCACTCCAAGCAGGATGTACGACATAGTGGCAGTCTTTGGTGCCTGTGACAATGCAATGGCAAGAGACACACTTAAATTGCCTGTAATAAGCTGGAGATACTTCCTTGGCCTCAGACTGTCTGCTGATGGACCCTTTCGTTTCCTCCTTGCCCTGTGGGGAATCGAAAAGACAGCCAAAGAACTCTCAGCAGACGCATCAGATGCTTCTCAGGCAGAGAGAGCTTTTCAACAGTTGGTTTTGGGGAGATCAGGCCTATCGTCAACACTAACTTTGTCCTTGGGAATGCCCTCAGTGTCACTCTCGAGTGATCTGGACAGAACAATTGTTCCTCGAAGAAATTATAAACTATATAACCTGAACCTATCCTTGGAGGAACTATTATCTCTATATATTAATCGTCATATAATCTTTTATAATCGTATTATTATAGACAAGGGTGGTGGGAATATCATATCGCTTATGCCAGAACATTTATACTATTATAAGGACAGGAGAGACAAATAGAATCATAATGGTAAAGATTGCAAGGGCTGAGAAAATGAAGGGAGAGGTTCTCATATACAAGATAATTAATTTACCCTTGCTTTCACAGAAATTCCGCAGACAATTTAAATCTAATCATGATCTAGAGCAATATAACACCACTGATGAAATAGCAACTCTGAAAACACTAACTTTGAGAGACTTTCTGAGCCATCGCTGGACTAATAAATCGACACACCACAAAACCAAGATATGTAAGTCACAAAGAACACATATAGATGCTACAAAGAGCATCCTACGCTCCTCCTCCCAGAATAGGCCCGAAACCATTGTTATACAATGATTTTCTAAAGAAACACCTAAATAAAGGGACTTTCCAAGAAAATTTAAAGTGGATAAGTAACAACATATTCAAAATAAAATGGGTGGATGCAAGAAAAAATAAATGTACAAAAGAAGACCATATAGTTTTTTTGGAGTGGGACCGTGCTAAAGGACGTGAAGTTGATGAGTCTACAGCTTCTTTCGCGGCCAGCAAAGCGCGGTTCCGAATAGCTATTAATAGCATCAAACAAGTTAAAAAGGTGGAATCAATTTCGATTACAGATTTTATATTATATCGTGTTGTAGATAGAATGTAAGGAGTTGGTAAGTTTGCATAAAACATCTAATGTCTATATATATACAGTAAGAGTGACGCCGTTATACGGTCGGTCGGATCTCTCACCCCTTCTTTCCGCGAGTAGGCTTAGGGCATCCGCGGCGCCCGTGGTCCGACTGCCTTCGTCCGTGGTCTATCTCTACCTCTTGGAGCTACCATCTAGACCTGCCTCTTTTCCTTGCTGTCCCCGTGCGGGAATCCCATCACGCACCCACGACCACGACTGCCCAGTACATTCCACGTCGGCTTGGTCGGGGTTACTACAGAACCCGTTTAAGTCGACAGGATAACTGAGGACAACAACATGCAGAGGATGACGGAGGTCAGAGACGAATACTTCGGGGATGCCCTCACCAACATGCAACCCCACTGCGAAGACCTAGTAAGCCGCCTAACAGACGCCATTCGGGGAATAGCAGTGCCTCGTGCGGAGGAAGCCCTCATCTCTCCTTTCGACGGATCCTACGCAGCAAGCAACTTCATCCAGCAACTCGAGCGGACGAGCGAGGGACCGCAAGATGACGCCACCCTGCAAGCCCGGCTCCGCACGCTACTCAAAGGTGAACCCCTCTCCCTCTACAACGAACTGAATCTGGCCTCTCTGCCATACAGCCAGGCAAAACAAACTCTCATGGACCTCTACCCCAGAAAATCCGAGGTCACTTTCACCAAATTTTTAACTTTTAAATTAACTAGTCAGATCCAATTAGGAGACTATTACCGCCAAAAAATAACTATGGTATTACAACTGGGCCTAACCAATCCTATCATAGTGGAAGCATTAACGGAAGGCCTCCAGGCCAGTGATCAGCGCCTCATGAGGGCCATAGCCCCTAAAACCCTGACCGAATGGTACTCTACCATGACTAGAATAAAAGGGACCAATTCACTCTCTACTCCATCCGAACCATTTCAAAGTGTTACCAACACCAGTGCCTTTCACCGTGATACCGGAACTCCTTCTAGGGGAAGGAACTACAATCCTTTCTCAACAAACAATACTCCAAGATACCCTTCTGGTGCCAGGAGACCACCCTCACCATGCAAATAGTGCCAAGGTGACCACTGGAACAGTGAATGTTCCATGAACAGACGACCCTACAGGCAACAGGCCTACCACGGCCAACCTACTGCGCATTATTTCCCACCGGAACAACCTGTCCAAACCTGTGGCAGAGCCCATCAACTCCAGAATGAGTCATGGGAGGTGATTGTGAGAAGTCTCCATCAGATCGAAGAAAGGGATGAGTACTCCAGATGCCAACTGGAAGATGAAGAGGGGAGTGCCAGGAAGTTGAGGGAGTTAACAAGCCAGATGGCCCGACTGGAATCCAAGCTAAAGAACCTGGAGACTGAAAACCAAAACTTGAGGAGGACCCACAGGGAGCAACCCAGGGTGAATATTGGAAACAGGTGGAACAACAACCAGACCAGAGGTTTCCAGCGGAGAGGAGGTTCCGCTCAAAACAACCAGCCCATTATACAGGGGGCCAGGCAGGAGGGACCCCAACAGAACCCCAATGGTAGAGCCCCACAAGAGCAGCGCAAGGAAGGCCCTCCAGCGGCAACCAAGGGAGGAACGCTTAGGGGGTATGAAGGCCCCGACACAACGCGGACACCCATTAAGTGCTTCAGGTGCGGGGAAGCAGGGAATAGGGGAACTCTAGCCGGTCTACCTCTAATCACATGTACATTCACATGTACACACTTAAAGTGAAAGGAAGAAATGTGACCACATCGATTGCGACCTGCTTACTTACTGGCAGATTCGGACAATGTAACTTCAGAACACCCTACTGCAACAAGACCCATCGTGTCGGGACCGCTGCGTGAGGGCGGCACAGCGGTAGAATCCAGAGAGGACCAGATGTGCATTCCAGGGTGTTATCCTTTTTGTCTTCCCACACAAAGAGACAGGTTGCCCACGACAACAAAAACTCTGTTTCCCTAACAACACAGAAGAGAAAAAAAGCACTCCACCAAAACTTTAAGAGAAAGAAAAGTGCTCAACTTGCAGCTATCTGCTAGAGCTTTCCCTCTCCATTGTGGATCCTAAATTAATCACACAGGCAGGAAACTACTACAGAATCTACCACGACATGGCAGAAGAGAAAACTTTGGAAAACATCCAATCTATTGAAGTACTCTAAAGTGGTGGAGAAAGCTTTTCTTCCACATTTTCGGCCTCACTATTGTCAATAGCCATATTGTATATAATAAATTGACCACGGGTCGAAAAATGCCACTTAGAGAATATCATTTGGCTATCATTGAAAGGTTGATGGAAGAAGCAGGTACAGAAATTTTGGATGAACAGCCAAGTGCATCTGGATCATCAGAGAGGCTGATTGGAAAACATTTCCTCACCAAAATCCCTGCTACTGGTTGGGGGCCCACCTGCCGCCAGACTGCTAACAAAAAGCCCGCTCAGATCCGCACCTCCATCCCAGCGCTTGCACCAGGGACTACACCTCCGCCCCCCCCCCCCCCCCCCCCCCCTCCAACGCCTCCTTCTCACCGGTGGGCTCTCAGGCTTCCTCCCAAGACTCCTCTTCTCCCAACTCCGACTACAAGGAGGTCCTCACCAAGATGTTCGACTCTCTACTGGATCCAACAATTGGTGGTGACCTCATCCATAGCAGCCGGCCTGGGGTAAGTGCTTCCACCCCTCTCCATCCCCCATCAGCCACATCAAACTCAAGCCCAAAACAGGACCTTAACTTGTCACCGCGTGACTTTACATTGACCTCACCTCCACCCTCCTTGCCCTACTCTATTACCTCTAACACGACATCATGTATCAGGCATTTGATTGGGCAGCTAACAACTGTACAATGCTGTGTCACCATATCAGTGACACATACAGCAATCTAGGCGCATTTGTTATGTCACACCTCGACAAAATTCTAGCCACCCTAAGAGATTCCTACACCCGTAGGATCCATGAGTTAGAATTCTCATCCTCACTGTTTTTAGCTGCCCAACCAAATCCCTCTACCCACCTCCCCCCCACTACTAATATGTGCACCCTACCCACTACCCCTGTAACACCTACTACCACAGTTGTTGCTAACACTCCCTCTGATCATCCTGTTTCCATGACCCACACACCCCATACCTCTACCACCCCTAACCAGCCCACACCTGAACCCATTGCAGCTAAGATTAACCCTAGGCCAACCAATATCCGCCCCATTCCCCCTCGCAACAACCCTTATCACATCACCCTAACTCAGGATGCAGAAGTCCCGACTCCTATAGGTTCCCGCCTTGGTTCTCGTCTCCCCTTACGCTCCCTAGGTGTCCCCATTCTTTATGTTAGTGCAACAAACTCAAAAATTACCCTCCACACTAAAAACAAAGAAGACCTAGCCACCCTGATTACTAAAGTCTCTACCCTAGCTTCTGAATTAAAACTCAAACTTATCCCCCCGCCAACTTTCCTCCAGAGATTCACGGTTTTTAACATCTCAGCTGATACCCCTGAATGCTCTCTCACTGAGAACTTCCTCTCAGGCCTGGAAAACTCTGACAACGAGTGTAACTGCAGGAGGAACTTCAAGGCCCTACATTACAAGGACTGGCAGAGTGGTGAAACCGTATTGGAAAGTGACTCGCTTAGCAACAAACGCCAGCTTCCCCCAGACATCACGTGACCTGGCGCCACACTCCGGCCTGTATAATATTACCTGTATAATATTACAGATTTGCTTGTTGACTGCCTCTGTGCTTACCTTTTTAACTCTCTTTGTTCCTTGTCATCTTAATATATATAATTGATAATTAAATATACTTTCTGAGATCCAACCTCTGATTTTCTTACATGGTAGCAGAGCGTGGTTGGTATCAAATATTTTTGTTTATCTAAGCTGAAATTCGTTTGCTTGCTCAAGATGACAACTGAACTTCCACAAATTCAAAAATTCAACGGCGATAATTTTCATCTATGGAAATTTCAAATGAAGATTATTCTAGAAGCAAAAGATCTTCTCAGTATAACTGATGGCTCTGAAGTAAAACCTGAAATAGAGGATATTGCAAAATTCTCTAACTGGAAAAAGAAAGATGCAAAATCCAAAATGCTGATCACTACTGCTCTAGAGTTTAAATATCTTCAACAGTTTCCAACAAACAACAGCAGCATCAACAATCCATTAAAGATAAAAAGAAGAACACACACTGTGGTTATTGCAAGAAAAAAGGACATTGGTGGAAAGAATGCTATAAAAGAAAGGAAGAACAAAAAGGACAACAGCCAGGTTCTTCAGCCAGAGATGATAGCTGTGCCTTTTCTGCTGAGACAACTTCTACGCGAGCTACATCAAGAACAAGTAAAGCCTACAACAATTTTTTGCGACAATCAAAGCTGCATAAGACTTGTTCACAACCCAGAATACCACAAAAGAACTAAACATATTGATATTTCGTATCACTTTATCAGAGATCATTTTCAAAACCATGCAATTGACCTTCTTTATGTCTGCTCCAATGATCAAGCTGCAGACATATTTACGAAAGCTCTACCTCCAGAAAGGTATAGAAGACTAAGAAGCCAACTTGGACTGTTTGAAACAACAAAGTGCTCGTCAGGTGGGAGTATTGGAAAGTGACTCGCTTAGCAACAAACGCCAGCTTCCCCCAGACATCACGTGACCTGGCGCCACACTCCGGCCTGTATAATATTACAGATTTGCTTGTTGACTGCCTCTGTGCTTACCTTTTTAACTCTCTTTGTTCCTTGTCATCTTAATATATATAATTGATAATTAAACATACTTTCTGAGATCCAACCTCTGATTTTCTTACAAACCGCCCGTGAGACTAACCCTTTAGCTTAAGGGGGAGGTGTTATATAATGTGTTCTATGAATAAGAATTGAGATCATCATCAATTGGTATGTGATTGTGTTGTTTGTTGTAACAATGTGATGTGCCCTGTAAAAGTTATGTAACTAATAATTATAATTGCCTCATTTATTAATGTTGGAAACAATGCTATGACTACAGCTAGTGCCACACTGGCCTTATCATCATCACTACAGTTTGTTTACTTCTCTATACTGTAAATGTGTTCGCTACTATAACTTTCTTTTACTAAATGAATAATAAAGGTTATTATTATATAATCATCAACGTCATCATGCCTTCATACAAGCTGTAAGTACCTAAATCTTACAACAATCAGATTATGAGACTGAATATTGCATGAAATTCAACTAACGAGTTAAAACAAAGAAAAAAAGGCTTAGCAAAAATTGGCATCACTCCCGAGCCACGATGTAACCCTAGATAAGCTTGACGGCTATAACTACTCACTATGGTCTTTTAAAATTGAAATGCTCTTGCAAAAGGAAGATCTTTGGGAAGTTGTCACCTAGCTGAGATACTTTTGGGCTATAGAAGGACCCCCATAGCCAGTCTCCCTCCGAAATGATGTTTGGCCATAACATTCGGAGTCGTTTGCATTTGATCTTACCAAATCCTGGTAAATCAGACAAACCAGGTTTTAAGGTAGGAGAGTCTGTATGGTATCGAACCTACAAATCAGGACCAAAATGGGACCAAGCTAGCATTCAAGGCACTACGGGAAACAGCCAAAGGACAAGTTAGAAGACATTGGAACCAAATACGGAGATCTCGCATTCCTGAGAAGAGAAGTGAATCTACTGAAGACCACGCCGGAGTCTCCGAGCCTGATAAAAACACCGAACCAGAGGAACCGATTCCACAACGCCAGGAAATGACATCGGAGCCACAGTCTTCTACCGAACCAGTCCAGAGTCCCCAGACTATTACACCACCAGATCCAGTGAATCCCCTCCGGAGATCTAGTAGGATTCAGAAGCCACCTACAAGATTGGACATATGAAGAGTTCCGCTCTTTCGAAGAGGAGAGGATGATGTTGTGTGTCAACAAGCAACCGACCGGAAATACACGTGACCGCTGCGAAATTATTTTAATTTTTTTTTTTAATTATTTATCAGTGAAACGGCACCACAGAGATAACAGGTACAAGTTGTATTTGACCACAGACCACCGTTTTCGCGGAATGCTTACAAAATACAACGTGCCAGTTATCGTTTGACCTTCGTGCTATTTATTTATTTTTTTTTTCGTTTTTTTTCTTGCCCGGCGAAAGAAAGATGTCCTGTCACAGATATAACCCTCCCAACGGCTACACCGCTGAGAATCGGACCCCAACAACCCTCCGGGACCGGACCACAAACCCAGCCCTGGAACGGGCCATGGTGACCATAGCCCACCAGGACAATGTACTGCAGCCTATCAATAAAATGAGCTTTACATCCCCACTTCAGCCTCATCACATGGTGGAGAGCAGTGTCGGCCCAGCACCTCAAGCCGCAAACATAAGTATCGGCTACGGAGAGACGCCGTGTTTCAACCCGGAGGAGGAAGATATCGAAGACTACGTGGAGGAGTTCAAAACGTGGCTGACGGCGAGCAAGGTACCGAAGGGAGTCTGGACGAAGGCCCTAGTACGGCGGCTTCCACTTGACGGCCGCAAATTTATCAAGTGCAGGTTTGACCCTTCAGCCGCACTTGAAGACATCTTGGAAGCACTGAAACTTTGCTACCCAAGGAACGACGGCCGGGCATGTAGTAGGGGTAACGAATTGAAGAAAATGAGACGGCCCCAGTCCACGGAAGATACGGGGAAATACTTAATGAACCTCATTAAGGCCCACGCGACGGCAGGTGAGTTTTCGCGGTTTGATTCAAACAAGGAGGCATTGTGGGCATTGGCTCCAAAAGACTGCCTACTACTGGCAGCCTCATGGAGTACCACGCGGAACCCAGAAGAGGCCGACTTCCTACAGGCGGCGAAATTACTCAACGAGGCGGACAAATGGAACAAGGAACGGAAGGAAGCAGGGACAACGACGAGTTGGGAAACAACTACGAGGACGGCGGATAATATTTTTATCATCATCTTCATACATCTTTTGTTTTCTGGCTTCGGTGACTGCGTCGTTAGACTTTATGATTAAATTTGTTACTATTAGCTACTATATTAACTACTACTCCATAAGATCAATGGTTACTAAGATTTTAACTAAGCCTTATACCCCTCCTCCCAATTACCGCGCAGACCTAAGAACACTCCAAAGACTCAAGCAATGTAAATCCGTAGTCATCACTCGATCCAACAAAGGCTCGAACACCATTATTATGAACCAAGATTATCGAACCAAAATGCACAGTCTACTCAATAATGACACCACTTTCTCCCCCATCTCAGACGAGGTTAGCCTCTCCCTAGTTAAAGTTTTTAGAACCTCCCTATTTCAGTTGAAAAAATCTAAGGATATTACCCCCAATGATTATAAGTCATTTATATCTAACCTTTCCAATATCGCATACATCTACGGCCTTCCTAAAATTAATAAGTCTGACGTACCACTCCGTCCAATTATCGCCTATCATCTGTCACCCGCGTATCCATTGGCCAAGTTCCTCTCTAACTACTTTTCTCCATTGTTAAATAACCACAGGAATATATACTCTATACGTAGCACCCCCCACTTCATCAGTGAGTTAACTGCCATGAATCCCGCTCCACATTTTACAATGTGTTCCTTTGATGTAACCTCCCTCTACCTCAGTCTTCCCCACAGTCTCATCACTGATAGTCTGGAACGGTTCCTTGGCTCACAGAATGTAGATCCCCATACCACTTCTTCTATATCACAACTGACCAAACTCTGCTTAAACATGAACTCCTTCACATTCCTTAAAGATCACTACAGACAGATTAAAGGCTCCCCAATGGGCAGCCCTCTATCCTCTATTGTTGCAGAAATAGCCATGTCCGAAATAGACCACTGGATTACCCGTACCCTCCCCACAGATATTCAAATATGGCGCCGTTACATTGATGACGTTTTTTGCATATGCAGAAACGGACAGGAGAGCACCATACTTGCAGCCCTCAATAGTTATAACCCCAACATCTCCTTCACTATGGAAATAGAGTCAAACCAGGTCATCCCATTCCTTGACATACTAATAATACGCACCGCATCCACATTCCACACTACAGTTTATTATAAAAAACAATGTCCCCCCAGTTATACCCATTTCAATTCACACTGTCCTATTTCCCACAAAATTAACATAATAAGAACCCTCACTAAAAGAATAATTACTCACTGCTCACTTGATATATTCAAAGTAACTGAGAGAAATCTCATCATATCGCACCTCTCTAAAGCATCATTTCCATTTGAATTTATCAACAGATATTCATATACACCTGGTCCCTCCAATCTACCTATAGATCATTATGTTTCCTGCCCTACTCCCCCTCCTCAGTTGATATAGCTAGAAGCCTCAAGACATACAGTATCCGCACCATATATAAGAACTCCTCCAACCTGCACACATCCCTCCGTCACCCATATACTAAATCGTATGCCCCCCCAGATCCCCTCCATTCTGTTGGCGTGGTCTATTCTGTCTTGTGTGAGCAATGCTCTGCCACATACGTTGGCGAGACAGGTAGACCCATCGCCATCAGAATGTCTGAACATTCTCGAAACATCTCCAATCAAGACACCAGGTCCCTCCTTTATCAGCACATTCTCAATACTGGCCATCCCTTTAACACCAACCACCCCACTATACATTACAGACACATTCATAACCAGCACCAACGATTAGTTCTCGAGTCAATAGAATCCCACAGACATAACAGTATTAACCGAAAATAGAACTTCCAGATGCATATCGTGCTCTCCTGGCCTTGCAGTAATAACTTCAACAAGATTCGATCCTACTACAGGCTGGATCAAGAAGGTTTCGACCACCTTGTGGTTAACCACAAACTAAATTTTAAAGACCCGGAAATGGGAGCACATACGAATAATATCGAGGCCACCTGGGGCACCGCAAAAAAATTACACGTGGGGAAAAGGAAAGTTAAAGATTCTCTTGAATTTTATCGTTCGGAGTATTGGTGGCGAAGGAAGCATTATGTGGATCCAAGAAAAAATAGAAACAGCGAAGCTTAAGCTTAGCATTTGTAATCTTAGTTTTTTTTATTAAGTAAAAATTAAAACACATTGCTAAATATAATTAGTAATATATAATTGCATATTAGTACATATTTGTAAAAATAGAATAATAATATGTAGCTAAATTATCGAGCACCATTGGAGCGTAACTTTGTCCTTATTTCTTTGTTTACATTTACGCTAAATCACCAATATAATTTTTTTTTTTTACTAATCTGGAGATATAATAAAAATTTAAAAGCAATAAAAAGTACTTTATAAATATTAAAGTAACCAAAGGTATTTACAAATTACATATGAATTTATATTTAAAAAATATATATATCGACGAGTTGGATCCATCCAGCCAATCAGACAATTACCTGAGGTGAGGTTGGTGACGCGCGCAACGAACCAATCACAGCCTGTGTTTACATCGGGCGTCACACTGACGTCACGACCAATGGGAGGCCTAGTTCCATATCTGGCCGAAACCTACGGTGTCTCCCTTGGGTTTTTGAGGTGGTCGCGTGAGTGGGTGTTTACATTTACATTGGCATATTCCCCTATAGTTTCAAACTCCAAGCATAAAAATTCCTTATTTATTTACTTAATATCTCTCTAATTATAAAATAATCATAACTTATGTAAATCTTCATTTTCATAATTTTATTCCGCAAATATGTAAATAGTTATATGTATATATTCATTTTAGCCATTGTACCTGCATTATAGTACCAAGTTTGATGCTGAAGTCACGCCTGTAGAAGGGTTTTTTGCCCGAAAGCTTGCTTTGATATATTTCTATTTGATATATTTCTATTAAAAGAAACTCTTCTTCTTTTATTTCGTGTGTCTAAATTAAATATAATACTATAATAACTACTATATATTAAATACTATTAATGTTGTCTAAATAAATACATACATAGAAGCATTAATGTGAGTTACAATAATTTGTTAACAACGACGAGTTAACCCTAAATACACAACATAACAAAAGGAAGGCCAAAAAATAATACAGCTTGTACCTCGTGTTACAATATATATAAATATACTTACCGGTATTTTAAATACTCACACAGAAAATCTATCTTACACGAAGACTTGCATTTATATATATAATTTTTTTATTATTATAAAAATATGATTTGGAGAAAGAATAAAATTCTGAACCTCCATTGTTCACCCAAATGCTACGCCTACATTAAAACAAAATCGGCAGCGGCAACTAACGATTGAAACAATGAGGGCCACAGAAATAATTGCTTAGCTAAATCATTTTAAGAAACATGAAATGAAATGCCTACAAGTTGCTAAGGAGCCAAAAAAAAAATCCATGAACCTTTCAAAACTTGCGATAAAAGATAATGTCTGTGGTCAAATTTTATTAAAATTTTTTTTTTGCTTAAGTTATTTACCCTAAAATTTATTTTTAAGTTCAAGCTTAATTTTTTTTACCTTGTTGAACGCTTTTATTTCTAAAATAATAATTTTAATTGATATCATTATCATTATCATTTACAAAGCACGCGATATCCGTCTTGGATATTTGCATGCATACACAAGTTTGGGAGCTTATTTACAGTAATTATTAATATGATTTTATTTATTATAATAAAAATTATTAACGTATTTGTCAGTTAGTTAATGATTTAATTACCCTATAATGAATATTAGTGAACATCACAGTTGAGAACAGAAATTTAGAGCTATTTACAGCATATAACTATTTACCATTTATTACAGCCCAGGCTATCTATTACTAAAAAACATTCTACAAAATCTATTAAAATTTATGTACATATATCTATTATTAACTATTTGATTTAGACAATTTATATTTATTTGATTTTTGACTCTCAAGTCCTCTGCAAGTCGACAGTCCGTTAGAATATGTACAGGATTTTCTTCTTCTGCACCGCATGAGCATTTAGGCGAATCCGTCTTTCTGACCTTGTACAAATATGATCTAAAGTTACCGTGTCCAGTAAAAAATTGAACGTTGTAAAAATTTGGCTTGACATATTTGGGTATTTGGGAATCAGTAAAGAAGGACTTGAAAATGGTGTTAGTCTTCTCATAGTATTTCTGCAATTTTCCCCTTATATAATTAGATATTATATTCCTACTTGAAGAGTCAAATCGATTGTAATTTATTTCGGTTTTCAGCATGTTAGATTCAATGTATTCAGTAAGTTTGGGGACTTGTGCAAGTATGTGCGTACAATCCGATGATGTTGTACTGTAGGCTTGTATACAATGTTTTAAAATATTATATTGAAGAGAATTTAGTTTGTCCTTAGACTTTTTGTTTATGAATGGATACCATATTGGATAACCGTATGTAATTGTACTTCGATATAATGTCTTATACAGTATCAGTCTTCGTCTAAAGTCTAGACCCCATGCTTTCTTTGTCAGGCCAAATAGGTATCCACTAGCTCTAGTTACTTTTATGATCGTTTCATTAACGTGAGGCGTAAAGTCCAGTTTGCTTCTGACTCAGTGATTTTTAATAGTCACTCCTAGGATCTTAAGTTCTTCAACCGGCTTAATTAACTTGCTACCTGAGACTATTATATCGCTATTGCATTTATATAAATATAATATTTTTGTTTTTTCATCTGACAATTTTAATTTACGACTTTCACAGCACTCATTAATTTTTCTTAATACGTTATCTATTGTCTTTCTTAGTTGTTCAGGAGTTTTATTCCAACATATTAACGTAATATCATCTGCATATCCTATTGTTTCACAGTTATCATCCAGATTATTATTCAGTATCTCATTAATAAGAATATTCCATAATGTGGGCGACAGTGGTCCTCCCTGTGGACATCCTTTACTTAGTTTCTTATTAATTTCAGTTGAGGAATATCTAAATCTTATTCTTCTATTATCAAAGTATGATTGTAGAAGTTTTATCATTGAAGCCTGCACACCATCCTC